AAGCTCACTGGCAGATTGGGGTTTGTGAAGAAGCTGTTAAGGGTCTCAAGGAAACCATGCATAAGATGCGAGAGGACGATCCGGACACTTCCGCTGATGAACTCTTGTCGACTGCTGTGAGGATTTTTAACCAAAGGGAGCTGATTAGAGGGTTTTCTCCACTGCAGCTTGTGTTTGGTAGATCAGCTGATGTTGTGGGGCGGTTGTCTGACGCTACACACCGCCTCCCCACTCAGAGTGGCAGGCGAAACAACGCTTGCTCAGAGCCCAGCGCTCTCGCAGTCGACCAGCCTATGATTTCAGGCCGGGTGAACTTGTATACTTCTGGAGAACCCAGGAGTCCGGGAAGCACAAGAATGCCCCCGGCAGCCGCAAAGGAAGGTTCCTCGGCCCGGCCAGAGTGCTGGCTACTGAGACTCGTCGTGGACCAGAAGGAGAAAACCGTCCAGGCAGTGCAGTGTGGCTGGTCCGAGGCAGGCAGCTCATTAAATGTGCGCCAGAGCATCTCCGGCATGCCTCCACTCGGGAGGAACTCGTCGAGGCCCTGACGGAGGAGAACGCTACTCCTTGGACCTACAATCGCGTGGTAGAGCAGATTGGTGGGAACCAGTATGAAGACCTGACAGGTACTCCCGCTCCCACCATGACGGAGTGGCACCGCGCGCAGGACCCCTCTCAGGAGTTACAACCTACACGGCGGCGCATTGTGAGCAAACGCCCTGCTCCCGAGCCTGTGGATGAGGAGATGCCTACAGAAGAGCCCTCAGGGCACCTACGTCGTCCTCGAGTTCAAGCACCTACTTCCTCCGAGGCCTCACAGGAAGCGCACCTCTGTTGGTGGAACATGATCCCCGAGAATGAATGGTCAGAGTCCGAAACAGCTTTCTGGAATGAGGAATCGGCAGCTGTGGCCGTCGAGCTTGACATGCCAGACTCTAAGAGAGGCTGGCAGAAGGCCCTCAACAATCTGGAAGGTTTCTTCACGGGAACCCTCAAGAAGAGGTCAGTGGAGGTCAGTGAGAGGAGGCTTACTCCAGCGGAGAGAGCGGAATTTCAGGCCGCAAAAGCCACGGAAGTCCGAAACTTCATAGCTTCGGAGGCCTTCAAAGTTTTGCCCCCAGAGCTCCAGCCAAACCGTTCACAGGCTGTTGGGATGAGATGGGTATTAACGTGGAAACCTCTCGAAGGAGGAGGGCGAAAAGCAAAGGCAAGAGCAGTACTGCTTGGCTTCCACGACCCACAGTACGAACACCGAGAAACTACGTCCCCTGTTGTGACGAGACAGTCCAGACAGTTTTTCTTACACTACGTAGCAAGCCGTCGATGGAAGGCCATGAAAGGAGACGTGAGCGGGGCATTCTTACAAGGACGCCCTTATCCAGATCTCCTTCACTGCGTGCCCACAGATGAGATCTGCGCGGCCATGGGCATACCTTCAGGATCTGTGACCCGCTTACAGCGGGCATGCTACGGCTTGGTTGATGCTCCATTGGAATGGTACCGGACGGTGACGGAGTTCCTAGGTGTGGAGGCCAGCAGGAGAAGTTCGGGGAATAATCACTGGTCACGTGGACGACTTCCTGTTTGGAGGATCAGAACAGGACGTGGCTTGGCAAGCAATTCTTGACAAGATCAAGGCCAAGTTTCGGTGGGGTGACTGGGAAGAGGATCAGTTCATGCAATGTGGAGTTCAGATCACCCAGACGGCTGAAGGATTCGAGCTGTCACAAAGCAAGTATGTACAGGAACATGTGCAGGAAATTCCCATTTCCTCGAGTCGTAGAAAGATGGACAAGGCGGCAACAAGCGACAAGGAAAAATCAGCTCTGCGGGCTACCTTAGGAGCACTGAGTTGGCACGCTCAACAAGTTGCTCCTCACATTTCGGCAGAGGTTGGATTGCTCCTTTCGGAGGTGAGCCAGAGTACCGTAAGTACCATCATTCGAACCAACATTCTGGTGCAGCACACCCGAGCTCGCAAGGACTATAAGATTATGGTCCACCGTTTTGCGCCCACTGAGGAGTTATGTCTGTACGCGTGGGTGGACGCGGGGAGCCAGAACCGGCCCGATGGAGGGAGTACTCAAGGGATTGTGGTTGGAATAGGACCTAAAGGGCTTCTGAAAGGGGATATGGGTTCTGTCACTCTCTTGAGTTGGCACAGCAATCGCATTGACCGAACGTGCAGAAGTCCAGGGGCTGCCGAGACCTTGGCAGCTGTGAACGGGGAGGATGTTCTGTATTTCTGCAGATTTCAGATGGCAGAGATCGAGAGAGGGTGTCAGGACGTGCGAAGTCCCGACTCTCTGGTGAAGAGAGTGCCAGGCTGCGTTATCACGGACTCTAGGAATGTCTACGACAAGATGTCTACTGAGGTCCTGTCAATCAAAGGGGCTGAGAAAAGGAGCAACATCGAGATGATCGGCTTGAAGGAAGCGCAACAGCGCGTTCAGGTCATCTTGCGATGGGTTCACAGCGAGGCTCAGCTTGCTAATGCTTTGACTAAGGCTGGTGGAGCTAAGGAACTGGAAATGTTCTACAAGATGCAGTAGCGGTGGCGGATTGTTGAGGATCCCGAGATGCGCTCAGCACGAAAGCGTCGTGCAGAAGGAATGAATCCTATGGATGCAGCAGCAGCAGCTACAACAAATGGTGCAGCAGCGGCACCTTCTTTCTGAAGATGTGGAAAGTTTCTTGTGTGTTATTTCAAAAGATTTCCCGGGGAGGGGGACATGCAAGTGAATTCCACTTGTCAGTCTCTCACACAGTCGCTGGTGATCGTCTGTGCTTACTGAAGCTTTTATGGTGCAAATCCAGAAAAAGAGAAGTGCCTATCGAGCCATCGTTTGCAGCCTTCGGCCTGCCATCTTGTGCTCTCTGACACGTCATTCTCTTTCTAGCACCGGCTAGGGCCATCCAGCTACGCCGCTAGCAGCCCCTAGCCCTCTTTAACCCTCCACTAGGCCCTAAACGCCAAAGCCTAAACTCTAAACTCTACATACTCCCATTAAAGCCCTAAGCCCTAAACTCAGAGAGAGAGAGCCCCCCTTCAACAAAAACGCCGACTTCCAGCCCTAAACCCTAAACCCTAAACCCTAAACCCCTAAACCCTAAACCCCTAAACCCTAAACCCCTAAACCCTAAACCCTAAAAAGGACTCCTCCGAGCCCGGAGCCTCCGACGCGCCGCTGCTCTCGGCGCGCCTGGCCGACGTGGGCCTGGGAGCAGAGGATGCCTGGGGGCTTGGGGTTTAGGGGCTTTTGGGTTTTAGGGCTTTAGGGGTTTAGGGGTTTTATGGGTTTAGGGGTTTTAGGGGTTTTAGGGGTTTTAGGAGTTCAGGGGTCTTTAGAGGTTTAGGGGTTTAGGAGTTTAGGGGTTCAGGGGTCTAGAGGTTTAGGGGTTTGGGGGTTTTGGGGGTTTAGGGGTTTAGGGGTTTAGGTTTAAAGTATTTAGGGGTTTGAGGGTTTAGGTTTTGGCGCCTGCGCCCTTTCCCGGGATTCTAGACGGGCTTTTTGGAGGCTTTGGTAAGGTATTCATTGGGTGTTGAAGGGAGATTTGTATCGGCATCGTATGTATATATATATATACATATACGTATATATATATATACACATACATGTACATGTGCATGTGTGCATATATATATATATGTATATATATATATATAAATAAATAAATAAATATATATAAATATACATATATATGTATATATATATATATATATAAATGTACATAAGGCTTCAGGGGACCGGAGATACTAGAGGCAACCCACTCGTAACACTTAGAATGAGCTTTAAACTTCGACTTTCTACTTCTGAACCCTGATCCTACAGCCGCCCTTGCGAATCCGGAGGGATTTCTGGGCTTCGGGGCTCCCGCGAAGCTGCGAAGGATTGAGTGAGGAGGAGTTTCGGAAAGTTTAGGGAGAAGGATTCAGTGTTGACGGGGGCTCAAAATTCAGGGTTTGAATGTTTGGGTCTTTTGGAGTTCCGGGGTGCAGGGGCTCGGAGTCCGCGGTTTCAGGCTTGACGCCGCAGGTGGCATGAGAAGGCATGATCATCCGCCTCTTCCTGCTCCTCCTCTTCCTCTGTTTGTTCGTTTACATGTCTGACTGCTATCGCCATGTCGGTTTCTACTTCATGGGATTCCCGTTGGGGGCTCGTGGGGGTGGGGTGAGAGTCGAACATCTGGTGTTCGGATGTTGTTTGTCTACAGTTTGAGCTTGCAGGGTCTTGCTTCAAAGACGGTTGGTACGATTGCTAGCAAGGCGTAAGAGACAGGCTGCCTGTCTGTGCACAGTTTTGCCGGTTTCGCCTGGAATACCATTTTTTTGCGCCTATGTCCTCAACCCTTCAAGCCCTAGAGCGCTAAAGCCCTCAAGCCCAAATGTGCTGAAGATTCACTTTGCTGGCTCTGGCCTTTGGGTCTGTGGTGAGAGCTTTTGATCCCGAAGCTCCTCAACAAGCTTCTGAACTAATGAGGGCGCGGTCCTCTCCTTTGGAGAGCTTTAGCTGAGCAGTGTTTCGGCTCTCCTTTCAGTACGACACGAACCCTGAGCCCTACACCCCAGACCTTATATATGCTGAAATCGTCTTGGTGAGCAAACTGAGGGGCATCCCACGGCGGCCTTCCGCCCTAACCCTAAACCCTAACCCTAAACCCTGGAAGCTGCAGGGTTACGCCCTCAACGTGACGAGCTCCGGCGTGGATCTCGTTGCCGCCGCTTGACACCACCAGGGGAACCCCTGAGCCCTTTCTGAAGGATTTAGCCTTTCCACGCTAAGCCGCAAAGCCCTCAACCCCAAGGCAGTCCTAATTCCAGAAACTTTGAGCCTGGAATCCCCGACGTGATAGGGCCTGGGGCTCCCCGGTTCGGCAATTTCTCCGCTCCTCACGTACCTCGGTGAGTTGCGTGCTGGATCACTGATTAGAAAAACTTCTGGTATGTCAGTAAGAAAGTTCACACCCAGGAGACCGAGCATGGCCTCTTCAACGGCATCATGACTCTTCGGCAGCTGCTTCAGAAGCCCGAGTCGGGTATTTGGCAGCTGCCATTGGTCCCTCGGACGGCCTCGGCTTGTATTTCCAGAGGGGGCTTGGGTTACGGTTTTTTTGTGTGAGGATTTAGGGCGTTATGGTTTGGGCTTCAGCCTACCCTGAGCCCCCGAGAGAAACCTCGCGAACAAGCTACCACTTAAGTTCTGGGTGCCCGTGCTGGCTCATTAGCCAGCCATGAAAAAAGTGCAATATTACGGTTGCTTGTTTTCATGATTGTCTTATTCTTATTATTGCTTTGATTATTATGTTGATTATGGTTAGAACTCCTTTTACAAGACTGTCACTAATACTGACGCTTACTATTACTATTGTTTTACTTCTTATTTCCATTATCACGTTACCTTTATGGTTACGATTATTGCAACTATTGCTACGACTATTGGCTATTGCTATACCTTTTCCTGATCCTCCAGCTGTGCCTTGTCCTTCCGGGAGATCACAAGGCTTGGGATCTGGATTTAATGCTTTCTGAGGGCAGACGTGTGTGTGTATATAGATATATAGATACAAATGTAAACACAAAGGTACGACATGAAATGTTACCGAAATTTCTCGTGCGTGCATTGAGACGGAGGGTTCCTGGTGCCCTTAGCTCAGCTGGTGTGTCTGCATCGGAGCCCTAAACCCTAAACCCTGAACCCTAAGCCCAGGTGAGCATTCGTGACAAGCCTGCCTTGCCGTGGCGAGGGCTTATGCTGGACGTGAGCCGCCACTTCTTCTTCCCAAAGGACTGCCTTTCCCGACCTGAACCCAAATTCCCTCAGCCCTGAACCCTGTCAGACTCAACAATCACGCGGATGTCGCTTGGGAGTCTATCCAGCCCAGAAGGTGCACTTGAATTACATGCCGTAGTGGAAGCAAGCATGCTGCAATCGAGTTTGTTCACATTGCGTGACCCCAAACCCCAAGCATCAAACTCCCGATTGAGTTTGCTCAGCACCAGGAGGTGAAGCACCTGCTCAGGACAATGGCGCTGCCTCTTGCCAGAAGTCTTTGGAGTTTGGAGTTTGGGGGCCATGTGCTTGTGGTCGGCATTTTTGTGAAGGGAGGGCTCTGAATTTCACGGTTGCAGGTTTGAGGTGTATACATCGGTCTACGGATCCAAGGTTCAAGCTTCGCACTTCAATCCTTAGAAGCCTTAAGCTTTCGACTTAGACCGAATTGCTTAGCAGCTATCATCTAGAAGTGATGTACTACGGTAGAGTCTAGCAAGGTACTCCACAGCGCGACTCACTGTGGCTTGGAAATTTTCAGCAGAGCATAGTAGACTGTAGGAACAGCAGAGTATGGTAGACCACTGTAGTAGCTTGCCTGTGCAGAAGGTATGCAGAATACAGGAGTAATGGCTGTGCCATAAAAGTTTACAGTCACCCCCCCCAAGCGCCCATGGCTCTAAAACGACAGTTCATAAGGTTTAAGATGAACCACTTCCACTGGCACCTCACCGATGACCAGGGCTGGCGTTTTCCGGTGGAGAAGCCTCTTTGCCTGTTATCCTTACATTCGATCGGCGTGCTTGTTGTGGTTGCTGTCGGTTTTGTTATTGCGGTATCCTCGAGACCTGTCACAATGAGCCCTGGTGCTGCTTTCCCGTTAGGGTCGCGGATCTGAGGATGGCAGCAGGTGATGAATTTGGAAATTACGTTGCTGATTGTTGCATTTGGTGGTGATGGACGGATGGTGCTGCCAGAATCATTGTTGTCACCAGCATTGTTGTCGTAATCTTTGTTGTTGTTGTTGTGGCTGCTGCTGCGGCTTATCACCATTGAGTTTCGGAACCACTCTGACTTTATCATCGTGCTCGCTTTGCGTCCGGCATAGCTAGTTTTCGCCGTCCTTGCTGCCTGGGCTTGATGACAGGGTTTCACGGTTTAGAGCTAGCTCGAAAGCCTGAGCGTTGAGGGCCACATGGGACGTGCCGGCGGCTTTTAAGGCACTTCAATCATTGCACTACCGGCTCGAAGGCAGTCTTTGTCGACAGGTCTATGCTTCTGTTTGCTGTTGAAAGCCCTGCAGCTCTATGTGTTCTGAGGGTCTTCGCATTAAGGACACTGATCTGATCCTGATGTAGTTGTTCGGTCCTGCTACCGACACTCACCGCATCAGGGAAACCATGTCTCGAACTGTCAGGACCCTAGGTCAACCCTCAAGCCGTTAATTCCGACAGCCACACCCTAAACCCAAAACCCTAAACCCTACACCCTAACCCCGAACTCCGGCTTCTAGTCCCAGGTATCCTAAGCTCATCTCCCTCGGAGCGGCACGCCGTGGGACGCCGAAGGCAGAGGGCATATCTCGGCGCTCTTATCATATCCTTATCTATATCTGTGTCTATATCCATCGCTACATCTCTATCTATATCTGTATCTATATCTAAATATATGTAAATATACATCTGTATCTTTTTTCTTTTAGAAACCCTGAGCCCCGAATGCGGAATCCCAAAGTCCTGCCGGAAGCCCGGGGCCAGGGTCACACTCCCCGATTGGACGGCCAGCCCTACAACCACTCCTACACCGTGGAGGACGCCCAAAAGGGCGGGGGGGGGGGTCTCTCGAAGGATAGGCCGGCGCTGCGGAAAAAAGGGCTCGAACACGCGTAGTAGAGGTCTGTTTGGGAGTTCGTATGTATCCCCCCTTACAGTCACTGTATAATCTTCGTAGAAAAAGACACAAAACCCTATACGGCAGGCCGTAAAGCCCTAATCCCTATATCCCGAAACCTAAACCAAAGGTCCTACGATCTCCAGTCGGCTATGCTGTGTCTACATCGTCAGGGAATCTGAGATCCAGGCACAACGGACTTCTTTCGAGAAGCTGCCATTCTGAACTCCATATGCATCCCCTGGAAAACCCAATACAGCCCTATGAACCGCCATGAAATTCCCGAGAAGCCCTTTAGTTTCAGAGAATCATACACCTCAAGGCCTAAACCCCGAACGCCCTAACCCCTAAAACAAACCCTAACCCCTAAACCCTGTGATTGAGAGGAGATCGAGGACATCCTCAGTCTCGCAGAGTCTCTGCACATCGAGGCGGAAAGACATGAACTGAACCCCTCGCGATGATGTGAAGAGGGTTTTCATGCCTTCACAACTGGAAAATGGTTTTCATGCCTTGATGGTTTGAACAGGGGCGTTCCTGCCTGACAGCTAAGACAGAGTTTTGTAAACTGGATTTTACTTTGATAGGGACGCTAAGAGGATACTGTTACAGTGTTATTCAGGCCTCCTTAGAGCCGGCAGGCTGACCAAGTTATTCGGGTAGCACGAGGCAGCCTTCATGAAACCGAGCAGCATCGGCGAGAGTGGCCGTGCTAGCAACGGCAGCATTGCAGCCCGAGGAACAGCAGGAACGGGAAGGGACGATGATGGTGATGATGGTGATAGCCCTTGCAGGAATCTAGGTCCCGTGTCCATGAAGCCCTACAGCCCGCGCCTTGGCTCCTGAAGCCCAGAGCATCAGGTGGGAGCTGAGAGGTTCAAAAGCCGCCATAGCCTCAACTGCCAGGGTCCTGATATGGTAGCCTCGTGATTTGGTAGCACTACTTTTGTGTAATCTTGACCGAATCCTACGTCCTAGGTGTAATCATGAGTCATCCTGCAGTGTTACTGCCCCATAGCACCCAGAAAGAGACGTGGAAACCCATCACCTCTTGGAAGGTCATGCCCGAGTTCGACCTTCCCGGTCACAACCAGGCAGGGCTAGTGGAGGTCAGGACTTGGGGTCTTAGCCATGAGACCTGGGCTTTTTCACATGTGTATCTTCCTCGGCTTTCCGGCCTCGACGACTCGAACTGCGGTTCGGGACCACTCAACGCTCAGAGTTTGGGGTTTAGGATCTGGGTGGTGCCTCAAGGCAGCGTGTCTTCAGCGTCACCAAGCCGGACGGCACTGCCGTGCTTTTAAGGATCTTTCTTTGCAGCCTAGAAGCCCCCAGGGGGGGCCCCCCAGGCTCGGCCTTTTCAGGGCGGGGTCTACAGAGTAGGCTTTTGGGGGACTCGGGCTTGGGAGTCTTTGGGGACTGCAGAGTTCCTCGTGCCAGGGTCACCTTTCAGGGACAGGGGTTTCTCTGTTTCCTTGCTTGGGGCTTGCCTCAAGGCGGCGATCGCCTCGTACCCGGAGATGGGCATCCCGGCCGAATGCAGTGGGATCCGGAGGTCGTCCTAAGAATCTAAAACGGGGTTTCCTACAGTTCAGTGTCGAGGAGTCACAGTGACGCCACTTTAACAAGGATAAAGGTACGGGCCCAGACTCTTGCTTTGCCCAGGGTCTCGGGGCTATCCAGGCTTCTCATCCAGACGGTTTCTGTTACAGCCCAAAAGGCTCCAAGCGGCCACCCGAAGGTTGGCTTGGTCCAGGAGCTTTGTGACCACATCTTTCTTCCCGAACCCTAAACCCCTCCAGAGCATGCCGGCTGACGATCAGAGTCGGTGTGAGTCTCACGATGGCGGAGTCAACCCTATCTCCTATGCCCCAGAGGGGGGGGACCGGGGCTCCTGCCTTAAGAAAAGCCCTCTAAAACTTTGTAAGGCAGGCCCCATAAACAACCTTTAGGAACCTATGACCCTAAACCCTAAATCCTGAACCCTTTAAAGCCCTAAACCCTAAACCCCAGGCGGCAACAGCTGCTGCAAACGGGTAAAAGGAGTTCAAAAGAAATAAACCCTGAACCGTCAACTCCGACTCTCAGGAAACGCGGATGCAGCGGCCAAGTGGCACCCAGAGGTGGCCACGCAGCCTCCCGGCCCGGCTTCGGCAGGGACCTGAAGGATTTTTTTGAGGGGGTACTCAAAGGGGTTTTAAAACAGGCAGTCTTTTTTTTCTAGGATTCTTATTGTTTTTTTTTATAGTTTTTTTTTTCTCCTGTTTCTCTGTTTCCTGGATCCTTTGGTCCTGTGGCCCCGTGGTCCTCTGAAGCAAGGAAGGAAGAACGCAAGGAAGCTTGCTTATAGGCTTTTTCAAGAGGACTCCGGAGAGGTTTGTAGGGTTTTCTTGTTTTGTGTTTTTACGGAGGGGCTTTTAGGGCAGTTTAGGGCTTTCTAAGGCTTTATTAGGGTCTTCTTCCTTTGTACAATTTGTACAAGGGTTCCGTACTCTATTTGGGACCTACAAAGGGACCCTAATTCAGAGAACTCCCCAAACCCTAAACCCTAAAGCGCCTAAGGACTGCTTAGGCGGAAAAAAGGCCCTCAAAAAAAAACACCCGAAACCCTAAACCCTAAACCCTAATTCCGAGAACTCCCCTTCTTCAGGTTTGGTGCCTTGCAGTACACGCTGAATCCCACGGATCGAGCCGTGAACTTCACCAAGGCTCCGCTGCGTGGCTCCCTGGAAGCCCTACCTGTAGCCTGCCTTGTTAAGGAACTATATATAGAAACCATAATAAGGAACTATATATATATATATATATATATGTATGTATGTATATGTATATGTATATATAGAAACCATAATAAGGAACTATATATATATATACACATATACATATACATATACATATACATATATATATATACACATATATGTATATGTATATGTATATATATATATATATATAGATAGAAACCATAAGAAGGAACCCTAAAAGTAGGTCTTTTCGGCTTCACGTGAGTTTCAGAAAACCGGGGCCCCTAAACGAAGACCCTTGACCTAAGGTGTCATGAAGGCTCCCCTAAACCCTAACCAACCCTAAACCCTCATACGGAGAAGCGCCCTCATGTCCTTTCAACAACACACCTTACCGTCATTGGGGAGAGGGGCGCATGGCAGATTCTGAGTCCTGGCCCACAACAGTCACAACATATCTATATATATATATATGTATATATATATATGTATATTTACACCCATACATACATATGTACATATATACATATGTGTATGTATGCATATATATATATATGTATGCACAAATAAATACTAGACCTGTATGTAACTGTATCTGCATGTATCAGTGTAAATAAAAGTATACCTAAACCACTAGTATGTGAATAGTTGAGTGAACGTAGAATAACAGTCTATATACATGACTCAATAAGTACATCTTCGCACGCATAGACAGATATAGTTTGCCAACGCTACATCCCAAGCCAGGACATCCTCAGCGAACTTGTGCGGCTTTTTCCTGCAACGCCCTATGCCACCTGCCGTTCCTATGGGATTAAACTTGAGATTTCTGGCCGCCACAGTTATTCTGCTCCATGCACGTCGTTAGCCAGAAGCGACTGTAGTAACATGGAGAACATTCTACCGCGTGTAGTGAAGCTTCTGAAAACCCATGACCACTGCAGACGTCTCAGCGGAAACAAGGTACACATCGGTGGCGATGAAGTTCCCACGGACCAGTGGGCCAGGTGCGCAGGGTACCACATTGTAACACAAGACGATCATTGTCAGCACTCTAGGAATATTTGTATGTATATGGAGCCAGTGACCTCCCTAAGCCCTAAACCACTCCGATTGGCCGCATTCCACAAG